ATATTTTAAAAAATACACTTATTTGTTTTAAAACATGTCCTTATTAATCATTTAATGTTAAACAAAAATCGCTAACTATTGTATAATTGAACAGTTATATTTATCGAATCCATTATTTACTATCTGTTACTCACTTTTCGTTATTCACCATCTGTCATTCCTCATTCGTCATCCGCTATTCACTAATCGTCACTCGTTATCCGCTACCATTATCCGCTAACCGCTATCTGCTATTAGCTGAATTTTAACTGTTGTACCGAACAGACCCAATTTAAATTATAAAATAATAATTTTTTATTATTTACTTTTTAACAATAAATTTTTAATTATATTTTTTTCTTAAAATAAAAATAAATTCCAACAATCCGCAGAAAGGTTAGGAAATGCCAGTGTTAAATAATGCTGCGACTCCAGAATTGTTTAACGATCCTCTTAGAGAAAGGTGAAGCAGTTGTAGAGGCCGATGCATTTGCATGCCTGTGTCTGTGTGTGACTGACTGGCTCGTAGATGATCCTGACGTGTCATCTAATCTGTTCGTCCGCTCTCGCGTCCCGACATATATCCCCACCTTTCTAATTTTTCTCTCCTTAGTCCTTCCTTCTAGGCTTCTCTTCTCCCTTCACCTAGGGTTTTCCTGGTCTAAAACCTTCACTCTGTTCACCAATTCTGCTATCTCTGCACCTAAACCCATAAATCAACCCCAAGAAGCTCATCTCTCTGTTTTGCATTTATCTCTTGGATTGGAGCTGCCTCAGTGTCTGCAATCAACTGCTACCAACCTCATTTCATGGCCAAGACCAAACCTGGCAAGAAGGACCTTGATTCCTACCCCATCAAAGGCACCAATAAAGTTGTTCGCCGTATGATGCTCTTGTTTACCCCTTCCTTCTCTTTTTACTTTTAAATTCTTGAAAAAACTTAAAAATCCTTAGCTTTGGCACTGAATCTGGAAAATCCAAAATTTGTTTCTGGTTTTGGGTCTAGAAAATACCCTTAATACTTTTACTGCTTGTAATGTATTTTTTTTTTTGGTTGCAGCTGGTGATTGTGTTTTGATGCGACCTTCTGACTCCGATAAGCCTCCTTATGTGGCGCGTGTTGAGAAGATCGAGGCCGATCATCGCAACAACGTGAAAGTTCGAGTCAGATGGTATTATCGACCAGAAGAGTCAATTGGAGGGAGGAGACAGTTCCATGGAGCTAAGGAGCTCTTTTTGTCGGACCATTATGATGTGCAGAGTGCACATACCATTGAAGGAAAGTGCATTGTGCACTCTTTTAAGAACTATACCAAACTTGAGAATGTTGGTGCTGAGGATTATTTTTGTAGGTTCGAGTACAAGGCTGCTACTGGCGGATTCACGCCAGACCGGGTGGCAGTGTGAGTTCTTAATTTTCCTTTGTCTTCTCTGATTAATTTGAAGTGGATGGATTTTGCTTCTCCTTTTTTCCCAATTAATATTTCTGGCTTTTGATTTTGAAGGTATTGCAAATGTGAGATGCCCTATAATCCAGATGATCTCATGGTGCAATGTGAAGGATGCAAGGATTGGTAAGCTTGTCTTCTTGTACTTCAGAACATTGTGTTATGAAATTACTAATATGCGATCCATTTGTTGGTGTATTTTGGATAGGAGGCCATGGCGGTTTTAAATGAAACATTGCATCAGCTGCATCACATAATTAATGTCACTTCATGTTCTTTCTGTGTACTTTTATTTTACGTTTATACTTTATTAAAAATGATGAATTCGTATTCCTCATTGTGTCTTTCCATTTTATTACCCTGAGCATTTCCTATGTGATACCTAATGCTTATAGGATTTCTTTTTCTTTTCTTTTTTTTCTTTTTTGAGTTTCTAATTTTTTACAATTTTTTAATTGAAAGAAAGCTTAACTCATTTATAAATTAGTAATTGCTCTTGGATGTTTGTTTTTCTTATCTATAGCAGAAAATGCTATTAACTCCAGAACACATGATTAGATTACCATTTAAGAGTTGGTACCATTTAAGGTTTATCTTGATTTGAATGATATTGATTTTATGATACCAGATTTTTTACCGTCTGGTTATTAGTTAAGTTATTTCTTTACAAGCACAGGATTTGTCTGGTGGCATAACTGATTGGAAATATTGATGCAAGCTGTAGAAGCTTTATTAAGTAACATAGTAAAATATGCTGGGTCAACATTGGTTTAGACTAAATTCATAGCTCAATATTCTGTTAATTAAATTGATGTCTTAGTTAAGCTTCCCTACGTAATTTTCCTCTCAACTCTCAAATGATTTGTTCCATGTTTAATGCTTGATGTGAACCATCCTCATCCTAGTCCTTCCCCTTCATCTAATGCAAAGATCAGTTTGTCATGTTAAAGTAAGTCTGCTTTTTGGAGCTTCTCTTTTCTGGGTTTCTATTCTAAAACCTTATAGTTACCAAATTGATAACACCTCCAGAGTTGAATTGTAACACTGTGATTTTTTTGTATGAAACACATTGTCTTCTCCTATTGTTACTGTTTCTATCGTGTATGTGTGTTGTGGTACCCTTGCTTTGGTAAACTTGCTCATAAAGAAAGGATTTGGATTAAAGGAATCAGGCTTTTATAAATATCTCACAGCTATATAAGTTTTAAATTTTAAGGTTTTAGGAGTGTTGTAACTTGGTTTAAGGATGCTTTAGTATTTTATTGGATTTTTTTTTTTTAATGAAAGTCAATATGAGCTGATTTTTGATTAAATATGTCTTTTATGTTGTTACAAAAGCTATATATATCTTATGTTACTTCTTCATAGAGTTATTGTTGGGGTAGTTACAGAGGGGATGCAATGAGCTAAATATTTTGCCTTTGGGAGTCGAAATGAATTATCCTATTAAACTTTCTTGCCTTGCTTCAAATTTTGTTTTGAATGCAAATTAGTAATGATTGGCTGTCCAATATAATTGGCTTCTAGTTTAACTTGAGCTACCTTTGGACTCTTGTGCTATAGGAACTATTACATTCATTCAAAACAAACCATCCGATTTGAATGTTCATCTTTAATAGGGTCTCTTCTTGAGTTATTTATGCTTTTAGTATTTTTTATCAACCAATTGATGGAATAGGCACTTGTTAGATAAAAGCATCTCATGTATGTATTCCTTATATTTCTTGTCCATCTAGAGTGTGTTTTATGATTTCTGTCAGACTGCTGTTCTACGATTCAGTAGGTTGTGTATGCTTGCTCTTTAATTTGAAATGAATTTCCTATCTGTATATTAACAAGATTACCAAATAGCAAATAATGCTTTTCTCATTTGGTATGTGTAATTGTGTATACATCAGGTTTCATCCTTCTTGCATGGGTATGACCATAGAAGAAGCAAAGAAATTGGATCACTTTTTGTGTTCTGACTGCTCCTCTGAGGATGATGCCAAAAGATCTTTGAATGCTTTCCCAGTATCACCATCTGTTGAGGCAAAGGTGAGAACACTTAGTTGTCTGACTTTATTAGCTTACTGCTTAATTTCTTGCATGCTTGTTTTTGTTACAACTTAACACCAATTACTTATTGAGATCATGTTTTGTTACTGGTTTGCTAACTTGTAACTACTTCGACCCCCCAACCCTGCCCAAAAGATTCACGAGTTTGTATGTCTTTTGTGGGTCACTATACTAAAGGTGCTGCTTTGGTTGTAGTGTATATGGAAATAAAATAGGACCATATAAACTACTATTTTTGTTTGTATTATGTCTTTTCATAAATGAGATGGTGTCATTGTGCATATACAAGGCTTGTGGTCTTGTTTCTACTTTTTGCTAGCCTTTGTTCTTTCCATTTTGTTATAGAGCTCCTAGGTAGTTAAGTGGTTGATGACTAATGATCTGCACTAAAAGTGCATGCATACATGTATGTGCAATTTAGACCTAGCAATTTTTTACCCAACCCACTATCCCGTCCATTATCTGCCCGTTTAAAATGGGTTAGGGTCATAGAGTTATGATCCGCGACCTGTTGACCGGTTAAGAGAACTCGATGGGTCACGGATCAATAACGGATTGACCCATCGGGTTAACAGGTTTGACCTGTTTACCCTTCTAAAAATTAAAAAATTTTTAATTTATTATTTATTTATTTTGTTTTTCAATTCCCAATCCCACCTAAACCTCTAATAATTGACTAATTTTCTCTATTTAGCTAATTGATTCTCTTAACTCATCATCTTCCAGAAGTAAAAATAATCCCACTCCACTTATGACTTACATCCTGACCTTTTCTATTCTTGCTTGCCTTAATACTCTCTAAGACTCTTAACTCTCTAAGACTCTTAACTCTTCAAAGTTTAAATTCTTCTCATATTCTTCAACCTCCATAGTCCATACAGCCTTCGACTTTCAAGCTTCGACTCCACCTTTTCTCTTTAGTCTTTAACATTATCTTAGACTTAGATCTTAGTCTTACCAAGTCCCCATCGCGTCCACTTAGCCCTTTCTTTCTTTCTCCTTCGAGTTTGACAAGTGCTCTCTTTGTCACCCACTTTTCTCTCTAAAGCCTTCAAGGTAAGTTGTTTACTTATTTATGCTTTTTAGTTCTCTCCATTCCAAGTAAAAATTCTACTTGATCTTGTCTTTTGCTTAGATGCATTCAATTGATTGATTCTTTGAAAGCAACGACCAAAACAAATATGTTCCAATGGGATTTGTGTTTTTTTGTTGTCATGCTACTACTCTTTTTTTTTTTTTTTCTATTGAGATTTATAAGTGTGTGGTGTTCTTGAATTTAATTAACGTTGTTCTTTGAAGGGAAGTGGAGAAGATGATTCTAAAAAACTATAAATATGTATATATTAAATTAATGGGAAAAAAATTCTTTTTATATGATGTTGAATTTTTTTTTTAAATCTTTTGAATAGTTTTCTTTAAATAATAATAGGTACAAATTATA